CGTTCCTACGCACGAGTTGCAGAAAGCGTTATACAACATGTGTCCCCGTCAAGAGGGGTCTTGCTATATCGAACCTGAAGACGGAAAGACACAACAAAAGGTATAACTATCTTTCTGTTCACCATTCCAAGTAATCCACACCTGTGAATGTACATGTCCCTTACCGTATCAATCCTCTACATCTTCAAGTCACTATCCCCACTCATACTGAACGCCATCATCAGTCGCCATATTCTCACACTGGATACTGCACATGTCAGTGGCACTTCAGACCCGCCTTCAAGCAGCAGCAGTTCTCGACCGTGCATGCTCTCTTGCACGTACCGGAGAGTAGTTCCAGGATGTCTTCTGGAGCCGGCTTAGATCCAAGCCACACAAATTCCACGACGTTAGAGATATTGTCTACTTCCTAGCCGTGCCCATGAGGGGAGGGGATTACCGGAAGTGGAACAATGGCTCTTCTCCAGATTGCTGCTTTGATAATTTGCTCTGGCTCGACCTTTCCCGCCTCTGGTGCAGTGGATCTCATAGCGCAGCACATCCACGCTCTGGCACGTCTTCCCGTACAGCTGACACACAAGTGCCTCCGTATCTTTCAGGTCACCTCGGATACTGCCCACTCCTCCCCGATACTCGCCATAGCTCGGACGTACCTTTCATTGCGTTGGAGAAGCTGGACTGCTTTCCACTTCCCTTTACCAGAGAAGGTAGAGATGGTATCACAGCCTGTGATCGCGTGTACGCCGATTAGGGCTTTCATGAAGCAGTGCTTATCAATTGCCTGGGTTTGAGTTGCTTCTCCAAGCTGTTAACAACTATAGAAAGTTCTGTTATTCTGGTCTTCGCGCCTCTTCTCTTCTTCACCTAGCACTTTCCAAGGTTTCGGCTATGAGCAAGCAGTAGGACAAAGGCATCAGGGTTATCAGAGTGGATGACGCGCGTGCCTCCCGCGTGTCGAGCATGGAGAACCATACGCGTATCAGCCTCTTCGTGATTACACTCTAGCTCAGGAACAGGTTCGCATGTGGCTGCGTCTAGTCGCCAGCACATGATCTTCGGTTGTCACGTAACATGATCCGGTTGCCGAGCCTGCCTCTGAATGCTTCCGGCTGTCTTCCACTGTGACACAAGGAATTTGACGATCTCAGGCTTGTTTGCGGTGACACTGAGCAGTGTACTACGTTTTCTGCCTTAGTACTCGGGGATCTCTCTAGTCACCACAGTCGCTGGTAGGGATCTCCCTGCATTTCTTCGCTACTGGTGGTGCGTAGTCTTGGTCATCTGACTCGTCTACGCTCTCTCTCTCTCTCTCTCTCTCTCTCTCTCTCTCATATTTCTCTCCGTGACGAGGATGGAGTTTACGCGATGGGATGTTCCAGACCCACTCAGTGTACACTCTAGGTTATCAATGTTATCTGCCACCATCAGGGCGACAGTGGACCTGGACTCCTGCTGCGTTTACACTGGCCGGAATGACGACTCGGTTTTCTTGTTGCTCATTGGTAACTTTCTAACGCATACTCGGTCGCTATCTCTTCTACTAGGTCATAACTTACGCTGGCCGTACTTATTGATAAGCTTCACAATATCTGTGTTATTACACAGGGCCTTTACAACAGAAGGAATAACATGCTTTTTGGAGTTTCACAACCCCATTCCGGTAACAGAAAAAACAATATATTGTGCGAAAGATTATTTCAGCCTTATTGTTCTTTCTGTACTACTGCTCTCACTGTCGAGTGATTTCCCAGAAATAAGCACAGTCAAAAAGACGTCGTGTGGATGTGGAATATAGTCATTTAGTTCTACTTGGTTTCAAATCATCCTCTTTAGGCGGCCAAGACCTATTGAAAACCTAATGAATGTTTGTGAGACCACGTGTTTGGGAACTGGGCTGGGGGTAGGAAACAGGCAATTGTTTTTGAGGGGGCTTTATTCAACACACTTGCAATGTATACATATATTTTATTTACTTGCTCTCTTTTCTGAAATAATTTTGAAAACCCCACAATTTTTCTGCAATGATTATAAGTGCAAACTGTTCATATTGTGACCGATAATCAGGCGTTTGTGACGTCACATATGACGTCACGTAGTTATAATAAAGCACTAGAAATAAAAGGAAATCATGTTTGTAGTTCCAATACGTTCTAAATTTGCATTTGAAATTCGTTCACGTTAAAAGAATACAAGCAACTTTGTAGCCTTCCCCAAAAATCCAAGATGGCGGCCAAAAGGAGAGTATGAGGGGCAAAATTTAAAATTTGATTTACAAAGTGAAAGCTACCGTTCTATCCTTGCTATCATACATTTTTATGATGCTTAATAGTCAAAGATTAAGATAAGACATGTTGCGGCTGTTCCCCTCAAGTGAGCCATAAACCCTAATTTTCGGATCTCAGCTGATGGACTACATGTATAGACTGTGAAATACAAACGAAAAAGCAGAAAGCAACAGGAAAAAAAACACTTACACTGCACATCAACCGTTGTTGCCTCTGATGCATTGCCACACTGGTTACTGGCTTCACACCTGTATTCCCCAGCTTCACTCCTGCTAATATTTGTGAGCACCAACACGTTTTCCATTTACTACGTTGACCACCAGGCTTGATCCAAGATACCATTGGATGAGGCATACCAGATGCTTGACATGTCAGAGTCACATTTCCACCTTCAGTTACTGTCTTAGCGGTGTATTTGTTGTATGGATGAAGGCTCTGTAAACAAATGAGACACAACAGCAAAGAAGATATTAATCATAAAAGCAACAAATACTTAGTTGAAATAATTTTAAATTTCTAAGAAACATTACGAGGCATTGTGGCACTTCAAAAGAGTTTATTGTAACAGCACTCGAGCTCTCAGAATCATAATTATGACAGATTTATGCCCGCTGGGTTTGCAAACATTAACATTTTCTGCAGGACAGATATACACTCTTTAGGACAATACTGTACATGTATGTAGATTCACAATGTATTTAATAATCATCTGTGATAAATCTCAAAATAAATAAAAGAGACCATGCCAGGAGAGTCACTGTGTTATTTCCGGTCATAATTGACTTCACAGTTACATGTACACACGCGCACTCGGTACCTGCTCCGCATGGTCTGAGAATACAACAACAACAACAACAACAACAACAACAAACTTTATTTTACCCCACAAGTTACTAAAGTATTTACAATAATTGGGACAGAAAAAAATAATAGGGGTACTGGCTACCCGAAATAACCTAGAAGTTAAACATGCCAGGCAGCCAGTTAATATAAATATATAATTTACATGTTAAGGTCGGGCACACAAACAAACAAAGACACACACGCACACACGCAAAAATAGGAATAAAACAGAGTTACGCTAACTAACCAGTAGACTAATATAATAAATAATAGATAAGGATGATAATTATTGTGTTTGCAAAACAGCATTTTTATCCAAGAGGAGCGATGTACAGAATAAACCTCGTGTTGCTTACAAGTTGTTATCTGTTGTTTTCTGAACCAATCCTGACCTAACGGAATCTAAGCTTCAACACCCTATTATTATTTTAAGGGTAGACATCCCTGCATTTCTATGTTTTGTGTCATTGAAAATATTTTTTTTAGTATACACCAAACCAGTGAAATAGCTAGCTCCAAAATTATAGATTTATTTTACCACGAAAAATCGGAAAAATCCTTTAAAAGTGGAACCCTACGCGCGACCAGGACAGCGCGGGAAAAGTCACATGACAACATCAGGCTATCAACATGTCTCGTATGTTGGACGTTGACGATTTCAAGGGGAAAATTATTTTTTTTTTCCGTTTTTACTGATGGACCAAAAGCGACGAGTTCTATTTTCTCGTATTTTACAAGTTCTGTCAGTTTCTATTGCCTGAGAAACTGATGTTGAAGCTGCAAGTGCCGTTATAAACTGAACAAGATGGTCAAGATGCTGCCTAACCGAAGACGTTTTCGTAATTCCAGTTCAATTATTTCTCACACTGATGTGACTGTATCCACCGTCTGATGTTACTGCTTTTAATTTACCGGAGGGGAGAAGCAGTAAAGTTTGGAGAAGCCACAGCATTTGGGCAGTTCTTGATCATGATACGGCAACAGGAATATTTTCTAGCGTAGTGAGACCGAGATTAGTCGATCCGAATACAAAACTAAATCGTTGGCAGGAGGGACTTCTTGCTTTTTGAAAGACACTGTTGCATTCAGGATTTCAGGTAGGAATTGCATTTTAAAGTTAGTTGGACTGGACAGCGTTTGAAACCACTTCAAAGACTTTTAAAACTGTTCGAAATTATTTACAACTGAGCGTTGTCACGTTCTTACTCTAGCTACGCAGGCTAGCTATTTGCTCGATAGTAAACAAAACATTTTGTACGACATTTCTGGCGATTTTATTTAGTGACACGACTAAACTTGCTACAAATGATCACCTCTAAATATCTTCAGGTATTTTTGATAACACAGTGTCGTGTAGCGGCCTCGTTTATGGAAGTAATTTCTGCTTTGATCAAAGAAGCAAAAGGCACGGCCATTTTGTTTTGCTCGGAGGTGAATAGCAAAGACTATTCACCTCCGAGCTAGCCAATCAGAACGGGCGAAAAGCATTATTCACTGGTTCGGTATATACTAATCTCATATCATCATTGAATCTGCATGAATGCCAAAGTATTAAGTTACTAAATGTCAAGCTTCAACCCAACACAAATTTTACATTTTTACTGCAACGCAAAAAAACAATAATACATGTGCATGTTAAAATGTCAAAGGTTGAAGTCTGTCTTCAGGTCTAAGTGGCTGATCAGGCCAAAGCTTATAACTCCAGTTTCCAAAGCATGAAGTCACTAGCTAGGAGTCTCACTATTCCCCTGGATGGGATGCTAGTCCATCGCAGGTTACCCCAGGTTTGTTAGGTTTTCCAGACAAGTTACTGGTACCCATTTATACTCCTGGTTGGAGAAAGGCACTGTGAGAGTAAAGAACACAACACAATGATCCCGGTCAGCACTCAAACCCGGGCCACTAGATCCAGAGTCCAACACGCTAACCATTAGGCCACCGCGTCACATATAGTACTAACTCTATACGCTACATCAGCTGGTATTGTATTTGAAACAAATTAAACACTGTGTTATTTTGAGCACTTACCATTAACGTTAACAGTAACACTTTGACTGTTTCCTGTTCCTAAAGTGTTGTTAGCCACACATTTGTAGATGAACACTCCTCCCCTTGTGAAGTTTCTGCTCCATCTTCCTGAAGTGTCTAAGATAGAAGTGTCATTCTCGAACAGCTGATATGACGTCACCAATGGATTAGCATCAGCTGAGCAGTACAAGCTGATAACATTACCCTGACATGCCTTGTTGTCAGCTGCAGATGTTACAAATTGCACATTCTCTGGTTTGTCTAAACAAGAGCAAAAATTAATGTAAGTTATGAATGCGCTGTGCGTACAGTACCACTGACAGTAACTATTTCCAACTACAGGTATCCTGGATAGCTAGTGACTACATGCACTTTCGCACTCTCGGTCCAACCGATCAGGAATATGGCAGTCACTTTTTTTTTGCATTCACTGGCTACGGTTTTAGTGTAAAAGCATAATCTTCAAAACTCTTGCAATTAGTACATGTATGGAATTCCTCGAAAATCTGTATGTTTATAGCGTCTTCAAAACTTTTACCCAAAGTAAGTTCATTGTGACCGTCAAATTACTGTATCCAATAACATTATCTGAAACACTATCGATCCACCAAAGACAATAGACTGGTTGTTAAATTAGAATTCAAACATAACCCATGTATAGACTGTGAAATACAAACGAAAAAGCAGAAAGCAACAGGAAAAAAAAACCACTTACACTGCACATCAACCGTTGCTGCCTCTGATGCATTGCCACACTGATTACTGGCTTCACACCTGTATTCTCCAGCTTCACTCCTGTTAATATTTGTGAGCACCAACACGGTTTTAACACTTCGCTGACCACTAGGCTTGATCCAAGATACCATTGGATGAGGCATCCCAGATGCTTGACATGTCAGAGTCACACTGCCACCTTCAGTTACTGTCTTATCGTGTATTTGTTGTATGGATGAAGGCTCTGTAAACAAATGAGTCACAACATCAAAGAAGATATGAATCATAAAAGCAACAAATACTTAGTTGAAATAATTTTAAATTTCTAAGAAACATTACGAGGCATTGTGCACTTCATAAAGAGTTTATTGTAACAGCACTCGAGCTCTCCGCATCATAATTATTACAGGTTTATGTCCGCTGGGTTTGCAAACATTAACATTTTCTGCAGAATAGATAAACACTCTTTAGGACAATACTCGCATGTATGTAAAATAATCATGTGTGATCAATCTCAAAATAAATAAAAGAGACCATGCCAGGAGACTGTGTTATTTCCGGTCATAACTGACTTCAGGTTACATGTACACTTGCGCCCTTTGTGTCTGCTCCTCATGGTCTGAGAATAAACTTTGTGTTGCTTACAAGTTGCACTCTATTATTATTTTAAAGGGAACCTCCACTCGTTTTACAAATATGGCCAAAAATGTTCTAAATGTACTAATTAGAAGATCTGGAATTAAAAAAATGTCTCTCCTAGCGTAATTTTTTTTTTTATCGCCTTCCAAAGATGCGCCTCAGAGCCGGTTCAAAATTACCGCGGCCGCCATCTTGAAAGGTACGCAAAGCACTGTGGGCTGATGACGTATCGTGGTTGCTTCGAATTCGCTGGTTACGTAAGCTCAGTATTTTGTTGTGAAAAGTTCTCGGTTTTGCGTCTTCCAAAACAGACAAAACAGTACAGCTTCAACATGTCGCAGATTCTGCCTTATCAGTTGGAACCGGAGTATCCGTCGAGTGAGGAGAGAGAGGACCAAGAAAGTGAAGAGGAACAAGATGAACAAGATGATTCTTTGGTTTCAAACACTGGTCGCCGTTTTGGACAATTCTTGGTGCGTTTGCGAACGTTGTACTGTCATGCCGACAGAAAGGGAATGTGTATGCTGCAAAGAGCCGACATTTTTGTCGAAGACGATTGAAGGTGTGATTTAAAATGAATATTTTATAATAATTTTGTTCTAATCTTTGTTTACATATTGTTCATGGGGAGTAAGCTTAAAATTACACAGACATTTGAGTGTAGTCGATTCAATACATGTATGTTTTTTTCAGTTCTATAAATGTATGCCGCGAAGTTTGCGTTTTTATTCTCGTTTTAAAAGCGAATATTACTAATACTGTTGTTTTCATCTCGACTGACTTTTTTACGATTCGTTCGATTAATCAAGATCAGTGTTGACTTGGCCATTTCGTTTCAGGTTTGTCTTGTATTACTGAGCATGAAAACTTTCACGCCGTGTACCTCAACAGAGACGTGCTGTGGACAGCTTTGGTCAGTTTACAAGATCGAGAGAGTGCTGGCCTTCCAAATAGGCAGCAAGTGTCGAACAGGTAATGAACTTGAAATGTTAATTGTTCAGCATTATCTTGAAATCAGCTCCACCCCAGTTTTTGTAACTTAAAAATACCGGTATGTACTTGTCATGTTTCTTTTTTCATTCTAATCGAATATTTCTTAGCAGACTTCTTAAATCATTTTCTGATGAAATCCAATTTATATGAACAAATGTAAACAAATAGAAAAGTACACCATATACCTTTTATAATACATGTATATATAATACATTTTAGAATATGATAAAATAATGAATTAACAAACACACCAAGTGCATCCACTTGGTTTAATGACATTTTGCTTTTTGTTTTAGGTCATTCCGTTTGCTGCATATAGGCAATTCACCTGGTGGGTTCATGGCTACCTTGGGAAGAACATTCGACGTGTAATACCATCTTGTGCAGTAAAGCAAATTAGAGCTGAATTTCCTGCACAAGATGGTATTTACACAGGGTACAAAGATGGAGATGACGATGATGACAGTGCCTTTGACAGTGAACTCGAGCACGCATGGAGAGATTTTTTAAATATCTAGAATGTGAATAATAATAATTATTAGTCACATTCTAGATTAAAAAGTCTCTCCATGCGTGCTCGAGTTCACTGCAGTATAATTTTCAGAGGTGAATAAAAGAATCCGATATTCTGATTGGTCGAGAAACTTGGCTTATGTTGCTATAATCACCTCCCGCGAGGTCTATTGCAGGTTACCTCCCGGCATTTTGTCAGGTTGCCCTAAACAGTTTGCTGGTACCCTTTATACTCCTGGGTGGAGAGAGGCACAGTGAGAGTAAAGTGTCTTGCCCAAGAACACAACACAATGAACCCGGCAAGGACTCGAACCCGGACCATTTGATCTGGAGTCCAATGCGCTAACCATTAGGCCACCACGTCTGTACTAGTCTGTTGAATTCCAATGGGTAAGGGAAACTAGGTGGTCCATGTGTAACCATATGTGCTGGTGTTTGACTGCTAGATCTGGAGAAGACACACTAACCATTACGCCACCACACCACCGACAATCATTAGTGTTACTGTAAAAAATAATTTTATTCCCTTCATAACTGAACATTATTAGTAATTCTCTACTTTCCATTATTCTGTGAGGTTCTTTTACATAAAAACAAATTCAACTTCCAACTTTATTTTAAAAATTAATTACGTGGTGTTTGCCGCCCGCAAATAGCAAAGTGCTAGTCGAGGCGGGTGGCAAGGAAGGTAAAAATAAGTATTAACATTACATTTCAAGTTAGGAGAGTAAAAACCTCCAAACAAACAGTATTATGGACTAGGTAATTGAAATTGACTGTACATTTCCCTAGATGAATAAAGCATGTGTGAAAATACATTTTAAACATCTTGCTTCTAAGAACTACAACAAAGTACAGTGGAACCCAGTAATATTACCACCAACGGGCCTAAAAATCTGGCCAAGTTAACGGGGTGACCGTATTAATGAGGTTGGCCTTACTGAGTGGGCCCAGTTGTTCAAAGTGTGGATAACGCAATCGCAACCGGATAAATCGCTATCCAGTGGATAAACGTTGACAAAACAAACTATGCTATCCACTGGATAGTGATTTATCCGGTGGATAGCATTATCCACCCTTTGAACAACCAGGCCCTGAACATTAACTTTGTAAGGTGTGGTTCCACTGTACTAGTAAGACTCTTTCCGCCCTAAATGCCCATAACAATAATTATTGTGCCTGCAATGAGAGAGGAATATACAAAGAATGACCAAAGAACATTTAAAGAGTGTAAATTTTACACTCTTGGGGTTTCATTGTTTTGACATAATAAACAGTCCAGAAATAATACTATTGTTCCCTGTTTTTTTAACTTTGACATTTAAATGTTATATTCATTCAAACAGAATATTAAGGCCCCAAAGGCAACATACAAATTCTCCTTACCTGTATTCATGCATTTGTTTCAGTTCTAGTTAGGAGAATTTGTTTTACTATCAAAGTTAAGTTTTCTTTTGTGATCAGTTGCTTAATTCTCATGACTTGTATGAGTGCCAATGAGGAGAAATCATTTTCTGATCACTCTTGGGACTTTGGCATTAACTCTAAAATGTACAAAATACACATGACCTTCTGCTGTTTCTCTTCTTTTGGTATTTGGTAAAACTGAGAGAATATATTGCTGACTTTTGAAACGCAATTCCAACCTCTAATTTTGTTACTGATATGAGAAAATAATATTATTGGTAATTGGACCTTCTTGTAGAATTCAGGGAGTAATAACAATTTTTTGCACGTAATTGCTGGGGCATAAAAGGTTACAGTTAATTTACTTAAAACGAGATAATTGTGCTCTTTTATCAATTATCTCTTTGCGACTTGGCCTTTCTACTGGGGCCATAATACCCGATCTGACTTTGACCTGTGGAGCAGGCTTGGTTCCTGAAAGCTGCTAAGAGAATTGCTGCTTGCAGCATATCCTCAAGATATTCATAGGATTTTTTTTCCAAAACTGGCTCTGCTCCAAATCTCTTAGACACTTTGCTCCAGGAAATTTTGAACCTTGGTTCTCCCTGAGATTCACCAGCTTGGATTAATGCCTAGTTCAAAGAAAAGCATATAACCAGATTATAGCAGTGTTTTTCACTTTCGTAATGTCAATCTTGTCCCCAGAGACTGTTATTGTTTTGGTCAGCACCAAGAAGATCGCGAGTTCTGGACAGACCAGATTTTCTGAGTTTGCACAGAGTACTCGTTTGCTATTGTCCAAATATTTTTTTTACACCAATCAGATTTGAGGAAAAATCGCATCTGACCAGGGCTCATGGTCAGATGCTGACCCAAAAAAATCACAGGCTCTAGGGATGAGGCTGTCATAATGTGGGAGTCTCAGATCAAAGTACACAATTTCATGTTACTATTATTGTTGTTAGTATGACTGCTAATATTATTACTCCCTTTGAAGTTGTTCAAGGTTCACTGTAGGACAACAGGGTTTTGAAACCTTGCAGGGGAAGTGTCATGTTTGTAACTGTCCTGATAATAATTATGTAAGTCACTCCTGGTTCATAATAAGTCTACCATCAAACAACTTACCTGAGGTCTGTTGGCATTAAAGTTGTGGTCAAGTACTGCCAGCATTGTGACAACTTTCATTACATCATGAGTGAAGTGTTGCAGTTTTGGTAAGTACTTGAGGTACAGAGAATGGTACAATTCAAGAGACGTAGTGTGCACAAACTTTGTCAAATGGACAATGTCTTTCGGAAGAAGCTTGTCTTTAACAATGTTGACAAGTGCAGTATGTGCTGGACTGCCAGGTTTGAGCCACTTCTTCTTACGCTGTTGCTCTGGCGAAAGTGGCTGATGTTCACATTTGTGGAAATGCTTGTTACCTGGCCAGCTGTGCCTGTTTGTTACATGGTGAATGACTGACAACCACTTCTCTCGCAACACCTCTGCATCTTCATTACAGCTTTCGGCACACCACCAGAGATGGTTTATGATTGACGGAATCCATGGTGCCAGGTCTGAGCAACCAGATTTCTTAGATGCTGCTGACAATTTCTTACTGACTGACTTGGCCAGATGCCATGGATCAAATTGATGATCAATGTGATCATGGTTCGCCCTCAATTCTTTCTTAATTTGAGGGTGCCTGTCAGTTGACAATATTTTAACTTTCACACCATTACCCTCAACATTTTCCAAAGTTTCAATGAAACCTTTTTTCTCCATCACATTAGAGTTAGCTACCTCTGAAACCGACACTACCTTGAAGTCAACCACGTTCTGACTTTCAACATCAAGAAGGGTGTAAGTGCAGTATTTTGCGCAATGGCCGGGAGAGTCACAACGGCCATCACCAGCCAAAGCAACACCGCCTTCCCTGGCCTTCAAATCATTGAAAATCTCCAGTTGCTGTTGTTCCCAAGTGGATTTAACAACAGGAAAGATATAACGTTCTCTGATGTTAAAATAGGTTCCCTTACCAATGAATTTCAAATTTTATTAATTTGGAAAGTGATTCACATTTGGAGAATGGAATACCACAAAAGAAAATTCCAGCTGTAATAAGCAGATTTCCAGCTCCTTTAATATCATACAATGGTGGCTGTGATTGCCAATGATACTCACAGTTATTGATGCAAGTTAATTTCAGTGACAGTTGTGATCCTTCATTCTGCTTTTCAACAGTGCTCTCTTGTATTATTAAAGAGCCGCACCTTGGGCAGAATCGTAATAATTCTTTGAGTTGTTCCTCGTAAACCAGGAAAACTCGCTCTTTATATGTGTTCTTTGTGTCTGGCTTGTCACTGGCATCTTGTGAGTCTTGCGAGCTACAGGTATTATCCTGTTGAGAGCCACCCACACTTGGAACATATTGTGAACCGCTTGAAGTTGTTTGTTGAGAAACAACTATGTCCATAGGTTCCTGGACATCCAGGTCCAATATCTTACTTTCATCTGTGACAGAAGGTAGTTTATCATTCAAATCTGGAAATAGATCCACTTGGGATCCTTGCGAGTCATACCCATCTTCAGCACTTTCATTGCTGTCAGGCACTGGGTTGTCAGTGATAGGTGTAGGTGCGTGTACTATTTCCCGTACGGTTTGTGTAACATAGGTATGATCTGATAACGCTGTCTTGACAACATCAAGCGGAAATTGGCATTCTGCGTCGCATGTCACTGTATAAACCTTTCGTTGTGTTGATGTTTCAGTGTTTTCCGTTGTCGATGTTCCTGGCCATTCCGTCTGTGTGGCCACATCATGCATTATCGGACCTGAGATCTCAGGAAAATCAATTTCTTCCTCAATCACGGCTTCGTCATGTAATGGCTCGTCTTTTTGCAGTTTTGAAGGACCTGGATTTCTTTGCAGTAGAGCATCTAGTGTCTAGACGGACGAAAAGCGCTTATAAATAACAATGCAACGACAATAACAAAGCAAATTTATTATGCAAGCGAATTATGCGAGGTCTCTAGAATGTTGAGCATACAAACCTCCTGTCGTTGTCGCTTCTCGGCGCGTCTAGTACTATGAAGTCGATCAGATCGGGCTGGTCTATGAAGAAAGATAGTGGGAATGGCGTCAGGCTTAAGCTTTCGCTTCCATGGAGATGATCCCAGTAGCTCAGTCTGGAGTCTAACACTGTCTTCGAAGCAATCAGCAGCAAAATGCTCCGAACATAGACGGGGACTTTTGGGTAACGACGTCCTTCCAACAGCTTGAATCCATGCACGGCGTAAATCATCACATTTTGGAAAAATATGAAAAGTTAGCTTCGGATTTTTCCTGTTTTTCGTTTGATTACTGCAGCCAAAAGCAACACAGTGAGGCATCTCGCGATGTGGCGAATTCGAAGCAACCACGATACGTCATCAGCCCACAGTGCTTTGCGTACTTTTCAAGATGGCGGCCGCGGTAATTTTGAACCGGCTCTGGGGCGCATCTTTGGAAGGCGATCAAAAAAAAATTACGCTAGGAGAGATCTTTTTTAAATTCCAGATCTTCTAATTAGTACATTTAGAACATTTTTGGCCATATTTGTAAAACGAGTGGAGGTTCCCTTTAAGGGTAAACATTCCTGCATTTATATGTTTTGTGTCATTGAAAATAATCTCATATCATCATTGAATCTGCATGAATGCCAAAGTATTAAGTTACTAAATGTCGTTCTTCAAACCAACAAAAATTTTACATTATTACTGTAACGCAAAAAAACAATAATACATGTGCATGTTAAAAGGTCAAAGGTTGAAGTCTGTCTTCAAGTCTAAGTGGCTGATGAGGCCAGTGCTTATAACTCCAGTTTCCAAAGCATGAAGTGACTAGCTAGGAGTCTCACTATTCCCCTGGATGGGATGCTAGTCCATCGCAGGTTACCCCAGGTCTGTTAGGTTTCCCAGACAAGTTACTGG